GGTGTGCTCAGAGATGGAAGCAGGTTCACACTGAGCATGTGCAACAGACACGAAAGAGTCTGCAGACGCCATGGTGACTCTTCTGCTGTCGACACCTGTCACAACCTGGGTGTGTCAGCGATGGTCAGGGAGGACCGCACAGACCTCCACCTGTTAGCCGACAGCACCCTGAATGCTGTTAGGTACCACCATCAGCTGGTGAAGTGGGCGGTGCATAACTCCTGCAGGACAGTCTTCACTGGCCAGCTTCATGTAGTCATGCAAGCAGATTATTGATGATTGGCGTTGTCACCGGCCAACCCTCAGATTTCCCAGACCTGAATCCAGCAGAGGAGCTGTGGAGTTTACATATCAGACCCACAGACCTGATCAGGAGCAGTCAGGAGTGCTGCACACCTCTGAGCCACATCACATTGATGAATTATGTGGGCTTTTTATGGCCCCTGGACCTCATGTTTGAAACCCGTGCTTTAAATTTCGTTTATCAGATGTAAACTGAGCTCACTGCCTCACATCGCTCGCTGTCAGCGACTTACAGTTTTCTTTGTTTTTTTTAAATCTTCAGTTCGGGGAAACGTTCAAGGCGGCTTCTTTGAGGAGTTGCTCGTCCTCTTGTGTGCCCTCTCCTCCTCTCACCATCCTCTCCACAAGCTGGAAACATGGAACCACAGCGAGGAGAAAGATCTTCATGGAAAGTTTTTTTTTTTCTAAAGTGACTTTCTGCAGCAGGATGAAGGACGAACGTTCAGAGGGAACGCACAGATGCATCAGGTCTTTGTTAAGCTGGACAGAGGGAGGGAGTCATGCTGTATATAGGTGTATACGTCTGCACAGAACACATGTAGGGTCTATTATACGCTATGTATTCACTAACTGCATGATTACAAGCTTATCAAGAAATACTTCATCACTCTCCATGCGTGAGCGTTAAAATCACTGGTTTCCTCTGCAGGTTCACTAAACTGTGGAGCCACATAAAAACTGTTTATCATCCTTATCTTTATAACCATGATAATCAGTTTATACCACAAAATAATGTCAAATACAAATATAAGTGCTGGTCTATCTTACGTGCAGCTCACTGTTCATCAGCCGGATAAAGAGTCCAAACACCTCTTTAACCTGCAGCACATGAAACACGACAGCTTCACCTTTACACGCAGCAGGAAGGTGCAAATGTTACCTCACTGTTAGCTTACAGTGGACATATTCTGCTTTTCCTTTTTCTCAGTCATATATACATTCCTACGATGCCATTCAAACCCTGAACTTTCAGCCCCAGATGAAGCTGTCATCCTCCTCCTCAGAGGCCAAATCCTGTTTTTGTGTCAGGCTGTAAAAATGTTTATTTCTGCTGTAAAGTTTACTGTAGAGTCTACGACTCACTGCTGGAGGCACGCCCTGGTGGACGTTAGGGGAACTGCAGCTTCTGCAGCTGTTTGCCCTGTGCTGTGGTGATGCTAGTTACTGCTGCAGACTTTTTGTTTGCACTGGTGAACAAAAGGCATGCAAAGCTATTCCATTTCAGACCAGCAATATAAACGGAGCAGGAATGAGCAGAATAGGTCTACAGCAGCTAGTTTTTAAGGTTTAATATTAGATCCTGTTTTATCTCATGTACGTCACAGGCCAGGTTAAAAAAGCCTGACAGGCCTTTTCAGCAGATCACCGCCTGTTTAAACTGGCTGTTTGACACGAG